ATCAAAGAATGAGCTTGCTTGGCAACGTAATGGACTTTGCTAAATTGCTATTCACAACAGATACATCCGCTCACAGTGCCCCGGGGCCCGCCTCTTCCCTACTCCAGCCAGGTCAGATGGTTCTGCCTGGATACTTCCTGTGTAACCCTGAGGTGAAGACATCCTCAACATCACCTCCTGGGGGTGTAGCGCAGCCCCTTCTGTTCATCTTGCTGCTGTCCCCTCTAACATAGACCACCTGTCACAGCTGTGTGGGCCCGAGGGCTTCCTCCATGGCATGGCGTGTTACTCCGTCCTGCCTCCTGGGGAGGAGTAACACCACCTCGGCACATCTGGGTGTGAGGGCGGGAAGCTGGGGCAGGAGGTGCAGCAGTGCACAGCTCCATCCGTAGGAAGCAATGACACCAACAGTGACAGCGGTCCCCAGTGCTGACGGTTTGACTTAGCATTTTCTGACTTTACGATGGTGCAAAAATGACATCTGGTAGAATGCTCTGAATTTTGATCTTTCCTCAGGCTAGCGATCCTTTCTCACTACGCTGGAGCAGCAGGGAGCTGCAGCAGGGAGCCAGACAGCCCCACGATCACTAGAAGGACTGGTGGGTTCTCTCCAGGGTACTGTGCTGGGAAGCTAGGATGTTCAGGAGGTTAGGTGCGCTACACGTATTTCTGATTTATCATCTCTTAATCTACAGCAGGTTTACTGGGAATGCGACCATAGCCTCTGCATACTAAAATACCACAGGAGCCAGTGACCAGGGGTACAGGGGCAGACAGGACCCACTCCTGCCTCCAGGATGTCGAGAAGTCAGTGGGAAGAGACCCGGGTCCTCAGATGGTGTCAACATGGGGTACTAGAGCCCTGCTGGCAATGTGGGGACGTGGGCAGGGTCCCCAGGCAGCACAGGTGCTCAGGAAAGGCTGAGAGGTCGGGAGGGTGAGTGGGGTGAGCCAGACTCGGGAAGGGTTTCAGGGAGCATGGAGGGTGTGGCCTGGCTGAGTCGGGATTGTGGACAGACTGTGGCTGGGTGACGGGGCTTCTGTGGCTCACTCTGCCCCACACCCCTTTCCCTGCTGAGCACAGCAGCTGGACTTTCCACAAGGGAACCAGCCCGTGCCACCTTCCTGGCTTCCAGATGGGCGTGCCTGTGGCTGGCAGGGAGAACGCTGCTCAGGGAGGGCAAGGGACCCGCAGGCCAAGGAGACTCCACTGGGGACTTCTGTAGGACCACGGGAAAGAGGACTTTCCCCTGAGCTGCTGGGGATCTCCACGAGAGCAGGCCTCCCTGAGAGCGACGCCAACCACAACAGTAGCACCAAGGGACTGAGCGAGACCAAGCCCCGGGTTAGTCCCTGGATCCAGCCTGTCCTGTGTACCTTAGAATTCCAGATGTGTGGGCCCATTAGTTCTGGCTTTTCGTGTAAGTCAGACTGATCTGGCTTCCGCTCACTGTGACCCCCTATGCCATGGTGTGGGAGGAAAAGGAGAAGGTGGAGAGAGATGCAGAGGACAGAGGCTAGTGGGAGGCCAGGCTACCAAGTTCAAGATCTACCCACTCTCCAGAACGAAACCTCCGAGCAGCGGACTGTGATAGTGTGACTTGGCCTCTGGGGAACAAAAGCTCTGTGCAAAGAGGTAGGGGAGGATGGGAACAAGGAGAGAGAAAGAGCTGATGACTCTTCTAGAAACTTCCAAGCCTTGGAGCATGTTTCCTGGGGTTTTCCCATCGGGACAGACACGCTGGGCTGGACTCAGAGCCAGATTATGAATCCATCAGCCCTGATGGCACGTACCAATTTATCTGAATTTCTGAAAATATGCTTGTGCCTTGCAGAGCAGCCTCTTTTCTCTGTCACTAAAAAGCACAGGGGCCTCGGCAGAGATCAAGCAGAGCAGCCTCGGCCTTAGTGGACGACGGCTGTGGCGGGAACAGAGCACCTGCTCCTCGATAAGAGCTGCTGCTGGGCGCAGGGGCTCACGGGCGCCCCTCGGGCCACGGCAGGGCTGCCCCAGGGGCCAGGATGCGGCACTGGATGGGCTGTTGCTGCCTCTGGGAGCTTGTGCTGTCAAAGGCGGAAGAGAGACAGCCAGGGGCGCGGCCTCCCCTCCACGCCTAGGAGCCTCCTCACGACGCTGTCTCCTTCTCCGTGAGAGTGACAGGCACGATCGGGTAGAAGGGAAACGTGAGCCGGGCTTCTTCCCTCTCTTGAATAGAGGCTCCCAAGATGGCTTCACCACCAAGTCTTTTGTAAATAAACCGTGGAGAAAAATACCATTTGTTCCGCCATAAATGCCTGGTGAGCAACGTGAGACGGGGTCCGGAGACACAGGGAATGAAGTCATTCTGGGCATAGAGATTGCTCTGTGCACAGCATTCTCTGTCCCCTGCCCTCCCTGGGGGAGTTTCGGCAGGGGACATCTGGACCGGGGAGCCAGGAGTGGGGCTGGCCAGCGGCACAGCCGCTCTGAGTATTCACCCAAGAAGTAGGTGTCTTTCTGTGCCAGGCAATCCTCAGGCACTCGGGCTGATGATCCCTATCCCATGGAAGCTGATATCCTCACAGGGACTCACAACCTAATCTGGGAATAAACTTGAAAGAATGCCTCATAAACCCACGTTTCATGGACAGACTGGGGAACTGCGGAGTTAAAACTCTTCAGATTCCCTGGGGATGATTTCGATGTGCCCATGGAATGTGTTAGAGTCCCTGGGCCAGGGATGTTCTGTAAATTTCCTATGCGCCGCCCCTCGCCAAACCTGCGCCCCTAGCAGACGTCGCTCTGCAATCACTGCTCTTCTGATAAGCTGGAAATACACATGCTCACAGAACTGGGGCAGCTCCTAACAGCGGACCAGAGCTGGATGGGAGAGGGAGCCTCATGTGCTATTTCTGACCTAGACTGTTACTCACCCATTCGCTAAGAGCCTGTAGAATGTTCCAGCAGACAGGGAGTGACCCCAGGGAGAAGCGAAAACTGAGAAGAAAGGGTCTGGGACTGCAGCCAGTTTCTTAGGCTTGCTGCCCTCTAGCTGCTTTTCCCTGACGTTCCTGCAGAGGCCCGTAAAACATAGCGGGTGGCAGCACTGGGCTTAGAGTCAGCAGGCGGGGCTTCAGCTGCTTTTGTGTGTTCGGAGCCTTGCTTGCTTCCTGTGAAACGGGTGTTAGAGCGAGGCCCCTCTGCAGGCTGTGGTGAGGATTAAACCGGCCAGCAGGTGTGAAGGCTTGGCACACTGTCCCGTCAGTTCGGATCAGGGCTTAACGTCAGTGGTGATAGGCCAGAGCGGGTCCCACTGTTTACAGCTGGCCTCCATTCTTTTTTTTGAGACAGGGTCTCACTATGCAGTTCAGGTTGGCCTTGAGCTCACTTTGTAGCCCAGGCTGGTCTGAACTTGTGAAGATCCTCCTGCCTCAGCCTCCCAAATGCTGAGATGACAGGCGTGCGCCACCACACCTGGCCCCTTTTTCTATTTTTTTTTTTTTTTTTCTGGCTTCCCTTCTGATTGACTGGCACTGGTTCATTGCAGCTGTCAAATATTGTGGGTGTTACCTCTCAATATTAGCATTTATCTTATTTGGGCAGCTGGTCTCACTGGAGACAGTTTCCAAGATCTGGAAGTTAAAACAGATGCAGACGGCTTTTCAAACCAAAATAATGTTTCAGCGGAATTCCTGGTGGTTGCTTTTTTTGCTCATCAAGAAATTGTGTCTTCCAGTCTGAACTGCTCGTCCAGTATTGTTGATGATAATACAAATACTGCTAACGTTAATAAACTTTAGGGTAGCTTTTGAAAAGAGCCTAACAGAGTCCCTGTGAGGCTTAAAGTATCACTAAACTCCTTTTATGGACGCAGAAACTGTGGCTCAGTGTGGTGAGGATTCCCTGTCCAGGATACGGCTGGGAGGACGAGGCAGAGCTGGGACCTAGGTCTTGCTCACCATGCCTGAGCACCAGGCCCTCGTGTTGAACTCAGGGAGGACAGGGTTATGTGTTCAGGAAGTGAGCACAGTGATGGTGCAGGGCTGCCCTCGAGGTCTGGCGATGGGCCATAGCTGGGTCCTGGGCATGCAGGCGGCTGGCCGTGGTGGAACACAGACAAACCAGCCGTCTCCTCCCAGGGGGCTGAACATGGCAGAATTCTCAAAGAGGAAACTGTGGACTCAAGTTCGGGGGTTAACTAGCTAATCCCTTTACCACAACGGTCAGGAAGCTTCTATAGCTCATGCACTGATCAAATAGGTCAGAGTAAGTATTTACTCACTGAATCTCTAACAGTGTCTACCAATTGCCATGTTCCCAGGTTAAGGGCTAAGTACTTCCTAGATAATATCTCATTTGATCTGCACATTAGTTACTTAAGGTAGGTGATATTATTATTCCTTTATTTAAGTGAGGAAAGACAGTATGGAAGGCAACTGAACTTGTCTGAGGTCAGACAGCTATTGCGAGGGACTGGGATTTGAACCCTGGCCTTCCTGACTCCACGACTGGAGTTTTATCCTACTGGTGTCTATGTCAGACTCCTGCAGTAAGACATAAAAGGGAACCGGAAAGGCCAGAGGGAATCCGAGACCACACAGCCGCTCTGAGAGCCTTTCCTCAGCCTCTTGCCTGCCTTCCAGGCTCCTGTCCTCAGGACTGCTGTGCTGGGCGTCTCACTCACAGGCACAGCGTCTTGACTGGAAGTGAGGCCGCTGCTATTCCAGCATCTTAAGAGAGGGGAGGCCCATGCTGCTAGGAGTTATGGCCAAGGCCTGGCAACCTTAGGGCGCCCTCCATGATGCTGCCACCTTCACCACACACACACACACACACACACACACACACACACACACACACTGCCTGCTGGTTCCTAACTTCTCCTGGGGAGCAACAGGCTACAAAACCCAAATGCCTCCAGTCCTCCCAGGCTCAGATGCTTGGCGGGCAGCCTACTGGTGCCGGGGCTGGAGCCAAGGAGACTACACCCAGAAGAAGGGGGTCCCGGAGCACCGCTCACCTTGAAGGAGATTTCATACTGCTCTCCACCCCAGATCTCCAAGCCAGGGTCATACCCGCCCAGCTCCCAGAACCACTTCCGGTCCACAGCAAACAGCCCGCCGGCCATCACGGGAGACCTGTCAGAGAAGAGCAAGGCGTGAGAACACAGACGTCTGCAGACGCTGTTGCAGTGTGCTGCCCCACGCACGCCGCTGAGTTGTACCTGGGGCTTCGAGATCAGGCTTTCCGCCTTCGTGCCCACCGCTTCTCTGCGGCAGTGCGGTGTTTTAGCCAAAGGGACCCAAAGTTCGTTCACAGGATCAACACCTGAAAGTACTAGTCACATGACTTCACAGTGGCACTTGTCTCCCATGGGCTTGCGTGTCATTTCTCCCCTAGTTAAATGGTCTGAATCAGATGTCTCCGAGCCTGTCTGCTGCAGAACCTATTAGATGAGCAGCTAGGCCCTTCCGAGACCTACTGAAATAAGCTCTGGGGATGGAACCTGAGGAATCTGGGCTTTTCTACATGCTCCTCTGATGATCTGTGCGCGGTGACCCAGGGCAGATGCTTGTTCTTCTGTGGTGTTTATAGAAGTAGCCACCACCTCTGTGCTTTCAGGGGAACTGGGAGGTGAGGCGACCTCCGTCCCATCATCTGGTGCTGGGTCACTCACTGAATGGTGCTGTGAAGCAGGTGCTGGGACCCTGCCCTTCGGGGGATGCCGTGCAGTAAGACAGCCGTCTCAGGGCAGAGGACCCAGGAGGCCAGGCGGAGTGTGACCAAGGCCTCTGGGAGAACAGACAGGGCACTACAGGAAGGTGAAGGGAGTGTGTATGCTCCCAGCTGTTGTGGGTGAGGAGTGAAGCGGGGCCAGGGAAAGATGCTCAGAGGAAACAGCATTCCAGAGCAGCTGGTCAAAGGAGAACGGGCCAAGGGAAGGCACCCAGGAGGAGAAACAGCAGCAGGGCACAAAGATGATAAACTGAGGGGACTGAGGGGGACAGAAGTCAGTATGGGCATGCGAAGTCCCAGGGGATACCATGCTGTTACCTACTGGAGTCCCCCATGTGCTCACGCAGGGCCAGGCCCCAGTGGACCTGAGCAGGATCTGCTGTGTGCAGACCTATGAATGGCCGGGTCGGGCGCCACTGCAAAACGCCGAGCCAGAACATGCAGCGGCAGCCCCCACTCCCTGCCTGGCAAGTTCATGGTAAGCACGTTGGTGCCCAAGATCTCACTTAATCCACAGGCCGGCCACCCTCCCAGACGGATCCTCAGAGCACAGGAGAGGCCTCCAGGAGAAAGGGGTCCCCTTCAGTATTTATGGAGGGCCGGAAGATGGCAGGTACTCCACTGACCTTTCATCAATAAAACAGATTCACTCCTCACCCAGACCTCGTGAGGCGGGGCTCACTGTTGTCACCCCCAGGTTGCATGGGGGAAGCAGGCGCCTTGCTCCAGGGTCCCCTGCAGCCAGGGTGGTGGCCGGATTCTGTCCTCTAAGCCACAGTCCACACCCATCCCTCACCACCAGGGTGCCTGGCCTTCTGCCGGGAAGGAAAAATGGAGGACAAGGGATCCGAAAGTGGGGCATCCCTAACCCAATCTCTGCTCTCCCCCACCTACTGTGTCACCGAGATGGAGTGTTTAATCACTGGCCCTGTGCTGCCAGGACAGCAGCCACTGGTCACAGGGGATGACAGCACCTGAAATGGGGCTGGTCGACATGGACACGTGCTTTGCGTGTAAAATACACACGGGACCCACAATATTTGGCATGAAGACAGGGGTCTAAAAGAACTGGTCTATAATTTTAGCGTAAGTGGCAGGTTAAATAATACTTAGATATGCTTGTTTAAATGAAATATATTATGAAATTTAAAATGAATGTTACCTTTTATCTATTTACATATTTGGCTGGGGATTGAACCCAGGGCCTTGGGGCCTTGTAGCAAATGTTCTACCACTGAGCTACATCTCTAGCTCTTCTCTTTCTCTCTCTCTTGCTCTTTTTTAAAATGTGGCTACTGGGAAACTGAACATTACATATGTGGCTTGAGTTATATTGTTCAACAGCGATTCCGTCTTGGAGCCTGAGTCCTGTCACACAGGGTAAGGGGAAGCTACACCTCCTACCTCACACTGCCGGTATCTTTCTATAAGTATCCAGCATTGCAAGAGCGTAGGTGTCACATGTATTCTCTTTGTCTTCTGAAGACTGTGGGGCTTTGAGTTTCTTGGCTGGAGGGAACTGCAGGCTTGGATGAGCAGAGATTGCTTCTGGCTTGGGACCTCATACCCAAGTCTGCACAGGAAAACCGGCCTGGACTGGAGCTGCAGCGTGGCCAGGCCCCGCTGGGAAGGCAGGAGATTAGCCTTGAGGTGTTTCGCATGCTTGAGGCTTTGCACCCCAGAGGAGGCCTCTCCTCCCAGCCTGTTCCCTCTTCTGTTCAACAACAACGAGAACAACCCTGAAGAGTGCCTACTGCATACCTTGCACCTGGCCCACAACCTCCCCAGCTCTCACAAAGCTCTATTGCTATGAGCCTCCTTTTCAAGTGGAGAAATTTGAAATTCAGAAATGCTACAAAATCTGCCGAAGGGCATGCAGTTAGTAAGTGGATCAGCTGCAGTTCAAACGGGGGTCTGCACCAAAACCTGTGTCTCTCAAACATCACCCCCCCACCCCATGGCTTCAGAGCGCCCACTCGCCAGACACTTGGAGAAGGGTACAGAAAATGACCAGGGTTTTTCTAGTGGCCACTCCCTGGATTTTTGTCCAAGTGGAATACAGAAGAGAGGATTTAGGGGGTGAGTCTAAGGACACAAAGATGGAAAGTGCTTCAGAAAGCATCCAGGCCAGCGGGTCTCTCCCCGGGCCACACATTAGCAGTACCGGGAATGGGGGTGTTTCTGAACCAATGATGCCTACATTCCATACTTAGACTCTGGTGTAATTTGTCTGGGGCATGGCCTAGGGGTTTTTAACAAGTTCCCCTGGTGATGTGAGTGTGTCCCAGGGTAGAGACACACCACTGTAGGGTGAGGCCAAGCCTAGGTATCCAGATGAGGAGACCGAGGTCCCAAGATGCTGGCTGGGACTCTGCTATTAGCCAGCAGTGGGAAGCAGACTCACCCTGTCCTCACCGTCCAACAAGAACCAAGGGGCCAAGACCCATCTGTCAGTCCCCTTTGAGTCTAGAGACCATCGCTCTGCCAGACCTCGCCAGACCAGTGCCAGCACCACCAGAGTACACCTCCAGCCCTAACGGGGGTTCTGACTACCTCTTGGCGACCTTGAGAATTCCATTTTCCGGGGCTGCCCATTCTGACCTCAGCCTCTGTACTGGATCACTTTGGGCAGGTCTCATTTCCTCTTTGAACTGCAGGGTCTGCAGCAGCCGAAAAGGGGAAAATGCCACCAGTCCCTGAGGACACTGCTGTGAAGCTCAGGCCCAATAACACTGGTTGAAATTGCTTTGACACCTCAGGCCAAATGTTAGTTCCTCCTTCTGTTATTCTTATTCTCCAAGAATTGAGGTCAATCGAGGACTGACTCTGAGACAGTCGGAGGCAGGGGCTGACTGCATGGTATGGTCTTGGCTAACTCCTGTCTCCTAACTAGAGAGGGATCTTACTAGCAGCAAGTGATCGTGTTGATGACGATCAGATGACGGAAGACAGGAGGGGACTGCACACATCCGACCTGCTGAAGGAACACACGGAACCGGCTCCCTGGTGCCCATCCTCTGGCCGTCCACCATTTCCAGCCCAGCATTTCCCCGTTCTGCACCTACAGCTTCGGAGGCTCGCATAGCAACCCTGGACCTGCGCAGTGGGCAGGAGGAATGTGGAGCCACCAGCAACCCCCTTTTTCAGCTGGGAGGGGAAGGCACAGAGAACTTGGGGCTCACTCTGGGCTCAACTGTGGCGAGGCAGGAGTGGCCCTCCAAAGGGGTCCATGTCCTGATCCCTGGAACCTACGCCTATGTGACCTCATGTGGCAGAGGAGACTTTGCAGATGTGGTTCAGGTTTCAGATCTGAGACGGGAGTGTCCTGGGGAGCCCAGTGTGGTCACACTGATCAGAATCACCACAAGGGCTTATGAGGAGAGCAGGAGGCAGGAGAGTCAGAAGAAGAGATGGAGGATGAAAGCAGAGGTGTATGTGGCGGGGGACATGGAGAGAGATGTGAGGATGCCATGCTTCCGGCTCTGAGGATGCGGGGAGGAGTCGAGGACTATGAGCATCTCCCTGGGCAAAACAAGGCAGTGGATTCTCCCTGGAAGCACCCAGAAGGAACACAGCCCTGTTTGCAGCATGATTTTAGCCCAGCAAGCTCATTTTAGACTTCTGATTGTCAGAACTTTGAATGTGCTTGTAAACGACCAAGTTTACAGTAAGTACAGCAGCTACTGGGACAAATACAGCCAGAGAGCCTGCCTGGGGCTTCACATCCAAGACAGGCAGGAGAGGTAGGAGAGCTCCCGTGGCAGCTGCACTGATGGGTCTACTGCCCAGGAACAGCAGGAGTCCAGACAGGGGCTGCTCCCCACCCTGGGGCGGCCAGGACAAGCCCTCCTCTTCCTGGGGCCTGTCTCCCCATCTGCAAGGGGTTGCCGACTCCTTCATGGTAGGTTCCTTCCATCTGTTACTTTCTGAGATGCTGTGAGTCTAGTCCACTCCCCCTAAACTTCTGCTGTGGGAACACTTCTTCAACGCTTACTGCTGCTTCTTTAATACTTACAAGGGGAGAAGCGAGGATGGGGAGACGGACACAGACCTGCACTCACACCTGCCCTGCCACTTACCAGCTGTGTGACCTGAGTAAGTTATTTCTCCTCCTGGAGCTCTGGTGGCCCTGGCTGGGAAACACGGATAGTAACTCCCACTCCAGCAGTTGTTGGGTGTTAGACTGGATCAGGGTACAATGTGTTCTGCACCGTTCCTGTCATATGGGGATGATGAAGACGCGACTATAGCTGGGTCACAGGCTTGAAAGGGAGAGAGCACGAGTGACTGACTATTCACCATGTTGGGGACCGTGGCAAACCTCACAGAGGTGACCAGCGTGGAGATGGCCAGCTTGGCAGCCCAGGAGCGGAGGCTGTGACAAGAGAAAAGGGAGACAGTCCTGGTGGGGGGTCTGACACCTGGTACCGAGGGAGGCCAGGAGTCTGGACCTTCTGCCCTGTGCTCCTAGGGGAGGTGGTGACACTGAGTGGTGTGTGTGTGCTGGAGAGGGGTCACGGGTCAGACCCCTGCTATGCGCCTGGGCCACTCATACTTACTCAAATGGGTCACTGGGGTCAGCTTTCTGCAGTTCTGGGGGGATCGGGATCCGCTTGTAGTACATCTCCCAGTCAAAAGCACCCCGCATGGCGTCCCCCGCCTGCGTCTCGTACCGGAAGTCATCGTGGTCAATCACATCGATCATCGGGCACACAATAGTCTTGCGGTTCCGGGCGATGCGGTCTGAAGCAGCCAAGAGATGCCCATTAGTGGAGGCAGAGACACAGTGTCCAGTGTCATTCTGTAGCTAGTCCAGTTTGGGTGACATCTCTGAACACCTGAGTCTGACAGTCCACAAGAGGGAGGGAAAGTGCAGGCTTTGAGCAAGAGGGACCAGAAATCTCATCCCAGACCTGCCTGCCACAACAGGGTCCTGAGGCAGCTCTACTAAGAATGTCACCAAGCCCCAGCGTCCTCTATGAAATGGGGTGGGAGGCTCAGCCCCAGGGGTTATGAGGATGGATACAGCAGTCTGTCAAGGAGCTGCCCCAGATGCCAGCTCATGGGAGGAGATGGATTTCCTCCCAGGAGGATCCACTTCTGCTTCCTGGATCCCAAGTCCTGATCTTGACTCTCAGCCCTAAGCAGCCCAGCTGGGCACACCAGCACCTGCCCTTCCCCAGATGGTCTGCTCTCACAGCCATGGGCACCTCTGGCTGTGGGCAGCCGGTAAATGGCCCTCCTTGAGAGTTCAGCTTAGGTTTTCAGTCAGAACTGCAGAAGAGAATGGACTGTCTCCCAAACTTGGAGATGCGCAGGCAGAGCCCGGTGGATCACTGCCCTGCAGTAATGCTACTGGCTAGGTGGTCCGAGACGGCAAACAAAGGCCTTGGCCTAGGTAGCCTCATGGCTCCTTCAAGGCCCGGAGGAAAGCAGTGATCCTCTGCGAGTCACTCCCTGCCCAGCCTGCAAAGGCACTCCAGCTTTGTTCTGCTTGGCCTCCAGTGCTCCTCTTGCCAGGGAGTCCTGTATGAGACCAAGGGGCTCTGGCCAGCCAGCTGCTGGGCAGCTGATCTGCCGTACAGGGCCAGTGGAGTGTGTTCCTTTGGGCCAGGAGTCAAGTTTAAAACTTGCAGTAGGGATCTGTATAGGGCCAGAGCAGACTAGCAGCTACTAGGACCCAAATTTCACCAAGCTGCCGTATATCTGTCTTCTCTGCGAGAAAGCAGCATTATTGCCTTTTTCTAAAGTGAAGACACAACTCACCAGTGGGTCATGAAACCAACTGTGTGTGTTTGTAATGAACCAAAAACAGAGTACTGGATACGAGGCTGCCTTCCAGCTGATACGGGAGTCAGTGACAGAGGAAGTGACTTCAGAGATGTGTTTCATTCATACTTCATGAATGCATGCATTTGTGTATTCAGTTGAGATGTTCAATGTATTTCTAGCTGTGATATGTGGTTAAAAAATTGAGAAGTGTTGCTTTTGGCAGTGTATCCCCGAGTATCCAAGCACGGCTGGGGGCCACCAGAGCCAGGTGCACCTGGAGAGTGTTTGAGAATCCCCAAGCCTTCCCTTAACCCAGGCCTACTGATCAGAATCCCTGGGGGTTTCCCGTAGACAGGATCCCTGAGGACTCATTATTTATTTATTTTTGCAGTATTGGGGATTGAACTCAGGGTCTCTGCACTAAGCTACATCCCGGCCCTTTTTATATTTTTAAATTCAGAGACAGGGTCCTCACTAAGTCACGAAGTTGTCCAGGCTGAGTTTGAACTTGTCATCCTCCAGCATCAGCCTCCCAGAGTGCTGGGATTATAGGCATACGCCACCATGGCAGGCTTCACTGAGGACTTTTAATGATACACTTAGCAACCTTCAGCAGGGAAAGAGATGCAGCGAAGGGCACCACGTAATTATTCATGGCCATTCTGGGGACTTTACTTCCAAGGAAGGTTGGGGCCGAGACACAGTGCCCTGCTGGCTGCTGGCTCACTCTGAGGTCAAGGTAGCAAGAGCAGGCAGCGTTTCATGGCACTATGCCTTCTTGGAAGCAGAATGCCCAGGTTCAAGTCATGGTTTTGCATCTATGAGCAGTATAACTTTGGGTAAGGCTATCTGATGCCTCTGACCCTGTTTCTGTGGTGATTAAGCTTGCCATGTCAGTATGCTGGCTTGGGGGCCATCCAGGGGATTGGAGCACATTTCTGGGTGTGTCTGGTGGGTCATGGAGGTGTGACCTTGGGAACCTTGTCTGGTTCCTCTCCCCTTCCTCCCTGGCACCATCCCCTTGCTCTGCTTCCCAGCCACCATGAACCAAGCATCTTTGCTCTGCCATATCCATCTGTCACAATGCTTCTGCCTTGGAGCCAGCTGACTATGAACTGAATCCCCTGAAACCATAAGCAAACGAAGCTTCTCCTCCTTTAAGCTGTGGGCGTCTGGAATTCTGTCTCAGCAGCAGGAGAGCCGACACACCGTTTCCGTGCTGACAGAATGGAGGAAGACATCGCCTTTCCATGGGATCTCTGGGAAGACTGAGCAGACAGCAGAGCCAAGATGCTTCGTGCAGCACCGACCAGGGTCACTGGAAGAAGCTCAGAAGCAGGAGTTGGAAGACTGAGCATCTCCCTCCTTCTCTTTGCTCCTCAATTTTCTCATTTGCCAAACATGGATGGAAATACCCAGCCTGCCTGCTCTCCTATGCAACAGTCAGATTTAAATGTGGACACAGCCTGAACTGCTAAAGTGCTATCACAGCCATGCAGTGATGATGATGACGGTGGGAATGGTGTGACATCAGCAGCACATTTCCTTGTGTGTGAGGTGAGTCTTTCTCATCATCAGAAATGTCGCATCTCTAAAGAGGGCAGCGTGAGCCATGCCTGCAGGTGTTAATGGTTTCACAGACAAATTCGTTCTGTGCTCTGTCAGTTACTGATATTAGAAGGAAAGACTTTTAAATCTATACCACGGGTTCACATTTCCATTGGAAAAAGAAAAAGAGAAAAAAAAAGGGCGGATGTTTCTTCCATGCGTGTGTGCAGATTATGAAAGCTGCCCTCACACATTTCCATAGAAACAGAGTTAAGGGCCCTTTGGATACAAGCTCAGCTTTGTGCCCACCGCTTCATTCCCTTCAGGAGTCACGGGATGACCCTACAAATGGCTTGTTCCTCCAGGACTATCAATTAGGCGATTTATGGTGAGGCTTTCTCTCTCTCTCTCTCTCTCTCTCTTTCAGTAATGAGAGGCAGATGCAGACAACCTCTTGGTTTAATTAAATAAACAGTTTATCGGAAATACCGAGCTGTATCTTTTTCCTAACCCACTGAAGATCCTGGACCGAATCTGACAACACAGCTCCCTGCTGGCCTGCTGGACCATCCTGCTGAACAGTGGGGGCTTGGCTGCCGGCACCTCATCCCACCATGGTGGCATCTGCTAGCTGGTGATCCTCAACATGTGGTCCTGGGACCACAGCACGGGAGCCACTTGGAGCTGGAGGCTATGTGTTTGCTTAGGCCCTCTCTCACTGCTCGAATGGGAACCCCTGAGGTAGGGTGCAGAGCTAGGTCCTAAGGAATCCTTCAGCTGATTCTACTGCCTGCTCAACCTAGCACGCCACTTCCGTCCTCTTTGTCCCCAGGCCCTCCGTGATGGAGAACTTCTCCATACACTTCTGCAGTGTTCCCTTTTCTCTCCAGATTGGCAACTCCTTCCCAGCCTGCCCTGGCCCTTGACCTGGCGCCCAGTCTCAGCAAACACATCCTCTCCTGTGTCTACAGCACCCGCCTGCCCCTTCCTCAGAGCAGACACCTCAGGAGCCAGGCCTGGCTGTCTGCCTGTGCCGAGGCACCTCACACCCTGCACCCAATCCTCACGGCCCCGCTGTCAGCAGGTGATGGTGGGGGACTCTGAAGCTGTGCTAGTCTTTGTGGCCCTGCCCTAGCCTCTGTCAGAAACTCCTTCCTGACAGGACATGAACTTGGGAGGCAACTCAAAAGAGAGCAGACTTTGGAACCAGACAGATGGTGACTGCGGTGACGCTGGTGGCCCAAGGGGACAAGCAAGCCCCCGGCTATCTCTGAACGTCAGTTTCTGCTACTGTGAAAAGGGGACACTTCCAGCCCAGCATGCTGTCATGGGGATCAGCGATTAGCACCTGCCTGGCTCCCAGCAGCAGAGTAGCAAACAGTAACTATTCTAACTTCACATCAAGGTGTCGCCCACAATTTGCCTCTGAATGGGAGAGGGCCTGGGCTTGCTTTCCAGCGAAATTTCAAGCCGCCTGAGGGAAGCAGTCCCGTTGTTACACACTTGTCCCCTTCCTTCTCTGAGTCTCAGCTCCCCTCTCCGTGGACTTAAGGACAGGATGGACCGGACGCTTCAGGTCTCTCTCAGCACTCCAGGCCTTCTCAGCCCACTTGGGCGCATGGCTCTCTGCTGGGTGCTCTCCAACAGGCATGGGAGCCCTTGCGGGTGACGCCCTGCAGCCAACAGGGGCCAGTGGCAGCCGGCTCACTCCAGGCCGCCTTCCTCCAGCTTACCAAGCAAGGGGGGAAGCCAGTTGACATTGGCTTCACAGTGTGAGTCCAGGAACGTGATGACATCCCCAGTAGCTGCTGAGGCCCCCAGCATGCGAGTCCTTATCAGACCTTCACGTTTCTTGGTTCGGAGAATCCTCACGCTGGGGAAAAGGGCCATGTAGTCTTCAAGTGGCTTCTTCAGGTGCTCTAGGGGGAAGGCAGAAGAGGACAGGTGGGTGAAAACAGCTGCTTGGTCACCATTCCTCTGACCCCTCCCATACGTGCGCACACTTTACAGTTTGGACACAGCTTTGTGGTTTGCTGCCTCAGTGGATCTTTCAGGCGGGGACAAGGGAAAGGAAAGGATCATTACCTGTAGGCCAAGAAGAGGGAAACAGGATAAAACGGTCCAGTGATAGTACCAGACCTCGAGCATTGGGAGATATTCTGTAGAAGGGCATGGGGCTCTTTGGCTCATTCCTGGCTGGGACCTATTCCCTCTTTTTTTTTTTTTTTTTATAATAACACTTTGATTTTTCCTTGGGAATCTGCCCCTCCCAACCTGGGTAGGGCTGATCCCAGCCCTGGTTTGAAGGAGGAAGGGCATGGGGCTCAGGTCATCCCATCCATCTTGCCCCAGACATGAGCTCAGGGCTGGCCACGGGACCTGAGTTGGTCAACTAATGAGTCTCGAGATCATTTTTCAGAAATATTGAAAAATTAACTCTTTCTTTTTGTGAGGGCCCTAAGCTGGCTGCCGTAAGTCTGGAGCTGCAGTTGGCATTTGGCAAAATCAGGAGATGAGAGGTGGTGGTGGGAATCCGCAGAAGCTGAAGCCAATATGTAAAAGTAAGAGTCAAGAGAGGGAGAGAGACGTTTTTCTGGTGATATGTCTATTCCCAGACCCCCGTGCACCTGAGGCACACTGACACCGGTGTTCTTATTACATGGCAGCATTTCCCTTTTCGCCTATCATCTTGTGGTTGGATTTCTGTCCTGTGCCTGGAAAATTTGTCTTGAATAAATACCACAGTTGCTTTCTACCAAAAGTCCCAGCATTAATATTGGTGTCTTCTGATTTAATCAGGGTTAAAGTCCTTTAGTAAAACTCCCAAAAAGCTAAAAAGTCCCCAGCGCTTGCAGCATACTTAGTGATCACCGAATG